TCGGCATCATCAACATCATCACTACCACCACCATCGTCATCATCAGCAGTGTCATCATCATAAGCGTCGTCATTTTCATCATCACCGTCACCAGCATCACCATAATCTTCCCCATCCCCTCTACTGCCCCCTACATCCCGCGTCACGCACGCACGCAAATGACAGAAAATTCTGTCAAACGACAGGTTTTTCTGTCACTCAGCCCCCTTGACAGTAGTTTCATCATTCCCCTCGCCATCCAACCCCTTCATCACTCCCATCCTCTTCCACATCCTACTCCTCCTGCTCCTCCTACGTATCCTCCTCCTTATCCTTCCTCCCCCTCCTCCTCCTCCTCATCATCATCATCATGTCCCTCCCTCCTTGCCGCGGGCGCGCCTCCCGATCCAGTCGCCCTCGGCGCTGGAGGCGGCCATGGCGCGGGAGGCGCAAAATGCGCCGGCCCCCTCCCCGCGCCCTGTTCGGGAGGCGCGGCGGCGAGGAGGGCGAACACCGACAGCCACCGACCAACGTGGGATGGCTAAATGATGCATATGATTTGTACACCATGTACATATCATATGTATCATATAAATATATGTAAACATATACATGTATGCATATAACTGTAACTGTCTTGTTCCAAGTCTCTACATACTTGTATGCGTATGTATAGGTGTATGTGTGTTTAGGTGTACGTACAGTGTATACTATATAAGTATAGACGTTTATACACATGCATACATATATATACATATATATACATATGTATATATACAAATATGGTCATTTTGCATATGTATATAGATGTGTACGTGTGTGTACGGTATATATATATATAAGTAAGTATGTATGTATGTATATATATATATATATATATGTATGTGTGCAAGGTATATATATATATATGTATATGTTTATGAGTGTATGTATACATATACATAGATATATACATATATATATATATATATATATATATGCACCTATATATATATATATATATATATATATATCCCGAATAAAGTATTCCGGAACACGCTTCTTTTGGACACGAGATAGCAGGAATCTGACTATGTATTCCGGCCCCGACATCATATAGCAGATCCAGTTTTCTTTCCTATCTTTGGCGGGAACATAGCAGGAATTGTAGGATCGGAGCCTCTGGGATGGTCGCTGTCATCGCCTCCTTGGAGACCACCCCCCCAGCCTCCGTGGGAAAGAGAGGGAGGTCGCGGTCCGCGACGCCCCCCCGCCAGCGCGCGGGGAACATCCGCTGTAGCAGCAAGATCTGGTCCCAAATGGCATGTGCTGGGCACGACGGGCGTGGAGGCCGGCCGGGGGTGCACGAGCAGCCGTGCGCCCGCGCCACGCCCAGCGCTGCCACATCCGTCTTCGACGCCGGCAAATGCCATGTGACCACAGGGCGGTCGCCCCGCACGAGCTCGACGAGGCACGCTCTGGCCGTGGAAAGCTCGATCTCTCGGGTCATCCACCACGACCCAGCCACTATGGCGTTCCTGGGGCCGACGGGCCCCCCCGCGTTCCAGGCGCCGTGGCCTCCTGGGAGGTCGCCCAAACGCTCGAACGGAAGGGAGCGCGCCTTGACGGCGGGGCCCACGCCGCGCGAGCAGGACCGCAAGCCGCCCTTCGCAGCCCGCTCGAAGTCGGCCTGCAATGTGAAGCCGGCACGCTCCGCGAGGACCCTGTACGCCGACGCGTAGGCCTCTGCGGTGCGGTAGCCCCCCTCCTTGAGGCTGGCGCACAGACGCGTCACCTTGGCTGGCGTCGGCGGCAGCGGGTCGTCGCCCCAAACGCGCAGGAGCGCCGCGACCGTGCGGCGGCGCGCCTCCACCACCCCGCGCGACGATGCCGCGTAGACGTCGGCTGCGAGGCGGCGGAGCGCGCGGTCGCGCTCAGCAGGCGACTGGAGGTCGGGCGGCCGACCCCTCTGGTACGCTGACCTGCCAGGGGCGTCCCGGCGCAAGGGGGGGGGGCCCGCCGCTGGCAACTTGCCCTTCACGCTGCTGCAGGCCGCCGCTGCCGCCGCTCGGGGCGGCCCCCCGCCGGGCGCTGCGCGACCCCAGACACTCCGCGCAACTTAAATCTTAGTTGTCGCGCTAAGATTGTTTGCTTGTCTCACTTGTTGTTGAGAAACTAAGATTTTAGTTCGGCGCTAAAAACTCTAGGTGGCAGCTAAGATTCTTAGTTGTGGCTGCATATTGATACCTATAAAAGGCACGGCCTGGAGAGGCTCCGAACGGGGCAAGCGGCACTGCAAGGCTTACGTCTCACCGTGGTGGGTCGTCGGTCTCGTCGGCGGACGGCGGGGGAGGAGGGCCGCGCGTGCTTGCACCCCGCCAGCGCCGCCCGCGACCGCGGGGGGGCCGCGCGTCGTCGTCGTCGTCGTCGTCGTCGTCGTCGTCGTCGTAGTCGTCGTCGTAATCGTCGTCCGTCGTCGTCCGTCGTCCGTCGTCCGTCGTCCGTCGTCGTCGTCGTCGTCGTCGTCGTCGTCGTCGTCGTCGTCGTCGTCGTCGTCGTCGTCGTCCTCGTCGTCGTCGTCGTCGTCGTCGTCGTCGTCGTCGTCGTCGTCGTCGTCGTCGTCGTCCGTCGTCCGTCGTCCGTCGTCCGTCGTCCGTCGTCGTCGTCCGTCGTCGTCGCCGCCGCCGCCGCCGCCGCCCGCCGCCGCCGCCGTCGTCGTCGTCGTCGTCGTCGTCGTCGTCGTCGTCGTCGTCGTCGTCGTCGTCGTCGTCGTCGTCGTCGTAGTCGTCGTCCGTCGTCCGTCGTCGTCCGTCGTCCGTCGTCCGTCGTCCGTCGTCCGTCGTCGTCGTCGTCGTCGTCGTCGTCGTCGTCGTCGTCATCCCTCTCTCTTGGGCACCATCCTGACCAATTTTCCGAGCCGCGTCCGCTGCGATCCCGAAGGCAAACGGAAACAAGGAGGACAAGACGGAGGAGGGGAGGGAGGAGAGGGGAGAAGGGGAGGAGGAGGAGGAGGAGGAGGAGGAGGAGGAGGAGGAGGAGGAGGAGCCCCGACAGAGAAACGACAGAAAAATGACAGAAGACAGAAAAATGACAGAAAACAGCGGGGGGGGCGTCCGTCGTCGTCCGTCATCCGTCGTCCGTCGTCCGTCGTCGTCGTCAACCGTCGTCGTCGTCGTCGTCGTCGTCGTCGTCGTCGTCGTCGTCGTCGTCGTCGTCGTCGTCGTCATCCCTCTCTCTCGGGCACCATCCTGTTCAATTTTCCGAGCCGCGTCCGCGGCGAGTTCCCGAAGGCAAACGGAAACAACGAGGACAAGACGGAGGAGGGGAGGGAGGAGAGGGGAGAAGGGGGAGGAGGAGGAGGAGGAGGAGGAGGAGGAGGAGGAGGAGGAGCCCCGACAGAGAAACGACAGAAAAATGACAGAAGACAGAAAAAATGACAGAAAACAGCGGGCGACGAGGAGGGGCAGGGAAATAATGGCAAGCGTAGGAATGATGATGATGCTGATGATGATGATGATGATGATGACGTTGTGGATGATGAGCGGCCCATTGAGTCCGCATCGTGGGCATATCTGCGCTGATCTCCGCGGTCCCTTACCTCGACATCCCGACTCCATCATGGTGGGACTGGGATTGGTTTAAACAAGCATTCAATTTATGCGGGTGGAACGGGGACGGCACGGGAAGAAACAGTCGGTGCTGCTGGCTCTGCCCAGCAGATTGCGAGGCGAACGACTTTCGCCGATGTGATTATTGTGCTCCCTGGCGGGGTTTGGAATACACCCATGCAAGATTCGTTCAGGAGACTATCTTGACGGGGAGATTTCGGAGTACTATATTTTCTTTTCCAGGTGCCGCTGGGGCCGTCGCAAATCTAAATGAAATCCTTTCTCATCCCTCTCCGCCTCCCTCCCCGATGAACCGGCGCCTGCGTCGAATTTCCTGGGACGAGCGGGGGTCTGGTCAACGCAGAATAGCGACAGAAAAATGACAGAATTCTGTCATTTTTCTGTCGCTTCTCTGTCGGGGGTCGGGGCAAAACGATCTCCTCGGGAATAATCTGATAGTAGACGCAGGGGGGAAGTGGGGCGGGCGGCGAGAGGGCAGGGGTCCAGGCCCACGTACTTGAAATGACACCCCACCCAATATAGAGGATGGCGATGGCCACGATGGCGACGATGATGCATAGAAGGAGGGGAGTAACGGCAGGGAGGCGGGGTGTGACACCAAAAAACTCAAGCTACGTTCTCTCCATCCCCCTCTCTCCCTCCATTTCGTTCTCCTTTTCCCCCACCTCCTCGATGGGCCTGTCGGTGTTTCAGGTTCAGGCTGATTCCCCACGGGCTCGCGCTCTTGCGATGGAGGAGCTTGAGGGCCTCATCTGTCACGGCTTCACTGTGCGGCAGTGCTCCCACCCTGAGACCATGAGGCACGAGCGCGACCTTGATTTTTTCGAAGTCATGGGAGGACTTCTGCCCTCGCACCGCCACGATCACCGCGCGCGGGCGGGGTCCGACGTGAAGGCGAATAGACAATTCGCTTTCGCGCCAGACCTCGTTGGCGTAGAAAAATATTTTTCATGTAGCGCTGCCCCGAGGATCCAACAGGCTGACGTGCCGCTTCGACAGAGCCGCCTTGCACAGCAAGAACTTCAACAAGCTGTTAGACTCAGAGCAGGAGCGGGCGGGGTGAACTGGCTCGGAGGGGAAGGCAGTGGAGGAGGAGGAGGAGGAGGAGGGCGAGGAGGGCGGGGAGAAAGTTTGTTTTGGAGTGGCGCAAACATCTGGCCGAAATGCTCCGCACTGGACAAATCGGGAGAGACCCGCAAAAGTGACAGAAAAATGACAGAAGACAGAAACATGACAGAAAAATGACAGAAGACAGAAAAAGGACAGAAAAATGACAGAATACATAAACATGACAGAAACCATACAGATGAACGTATACCTAACAATGCCAGAAAACAGCAGCAGCATACAGAACTCGAGCAGAAACATATCATGCAGCAGAAAGTGCAGCATGGGTTTATGTCGCCCTTGCAGGACTTGGCCACTGAGAGTGGATTCAAGCAGTGCCTTCACACGTCCATGAGATTGAAGTCGGGCGGCGTCCTTTGGTTCCCCCCGCCGTACTGCGGGACCCCCGTCGAAGACACCATCGAGAACGTTCCAGAGGCCAAACGCGAGGAGTACATCGACATCGCGAAGAAAGTGTGCTTTCTGAGCATGGTCGCAGTGCGGCGCCAGGTCACAATCATCGTGGAGGCCGCGCTGGAGAGCTGGTTCTGGAAGTGCCCGCTTTGGCAGAACATGGCGAGGTCCCACGGCATGTACTGCTCCGACCTGGTCTGGTGCGCTTACTCCGACGATGAGCCCTACAATACATTCCAGCACCACGTGAGGCTGATGGGGACCGAGTGGTGGGTCGGCGTGCTAGGCAGCAAGTGCGAGCACGGAGAAGGCGTTCACCCGCGTCGTCGCCTCGTTTGGCTGAACGAGATCTACCCGCCGAAGCTCGCTGACCGTATCGTTGAGACGTACGATATGTTCGCCCGCACGGAGGTTCCTGATCCTGGGCCTGTTCCGTACCACGAAGCAAGCAGTGATGATTTCTCTCTCGGGATGAAGCTTCTGGAGACGGGTCGGCCCAGGAAGTTGGCGCGGATGGACTCGGCAGTTTCGGCAGTTTCAGAGAAGCTAAGCGCCCCTCTGACTGGGCTGAGCGATTCGGACGAAGAGCCAGACAAGAGCGATGGCATGACTGAGCTCGAGCAGAAAGCATTCTTCATGACGAGCACGCCCAAGCGCGACCAGCACGGCAAGTTCACTCAGGAGAGCATGGACCAGTTCACGGAGGAGCAGAAGGCCATCCAGGCGGCGCTCGAGCAGGAGGCGGCGGACCGCGAGCTCGCCGTGCGCATGCAGCAGCAGGAGGTGCGGGAGGTCGTGAAGGCCAGAGGATGGAAACGACGAGGAGGAGGAGGATGAGGAGGAGGAGGAGGAGGAGGAGGAGGACGAGGACGAGGAGGAGGGGGCCCTCTTGGGGCCGTGGGCCCTTGGAGCCGCTTCGAACTCTGCTGCGGCCGTCTCGGGCCCTCTTGAAGCCCCCCAGCTCCGCGAGAGCCTGAGGGCGTTGCGTTCCTCTCCACCTCAGGCCGAGCTCGAGCGCTCCGAGGCGTCGGGGTCCTCGGGGAACAGGGGCCTCCCGAGCAACGCGACGATTGCCCGCTCTGCCACCGCGCTCGACGTCGAGGGGGCCCCCGTGGAAGTCGTCGACAGCCCCGACGGCGCGACCCCCGAGCGGGGCCGCCCGTGCCCCGTCCCCGCGTTCCGCGACCCGAGCCCGTCGAGCTCGTCGTCGAGCGGCCCAGCCTGATCTGCTCGCCTTACCCACGTCCTTCGCCCTTCCTCCCCAGTGCTCTCTTTCTCGCCCCGCCCACTTGATCCTTGCAACCCTCCACCTTCTCCCAGTCGATTTCACTTTTTAGCTGGCATTCGCGGCGCGCGGCGGGGGCCGCGCGCTCCCTCGCATTCCCGAGAGTAATGTTTGATGAACCGACGGCGCAATGCCAGTGCCAGTCCGTGCAAGTGCAGTGAACAAAAACAATTATTGCTGCTGGGTTGGCGAGGTCGCAAGCCCGCGGAGGTGCCCCGAGGGGGCGGCTCAAATCGGTTTCGAAGGGGGGGGGGGCCCAAGGAGGCCCCAAGAAGAAGTCCGCAGCCTGAACTCGAACCCCCTCTTCCCCCCAATTTATCCTCCTCCGCCTCCCCCTCCACTACGTAGCACTTTCGGCTCTTCGGCAGCATGCCTACCACTGCTGCCAAGCGCGATCGCCCTACCTGTTGGAAGAGCGTTGGCGACACCGATACCGCAACCATGCTAGCGCCCCATTTGGCCCTCACCATGTCCGTGGTCTGGACCAACGGCCTCTACAAGTCGACAGACATGAGGAAGAGCTTCGACGTGGAATACCTGGAACTAACCAGCAAGACGCTACACGCCCTGATGGTTTTGGACCCCCGCGGAGGCTACTTCGCACAGGACGACGTGCGGCGTGCAGTTGTCATGAACTGCTCCGATCCCAAAGTCGAGCGCGGGATGCAGAAGCTGGCGAGGGACATCGTGAAGCCTTACGATGTAGCGATTGGTCTTACAGCATATGCCTACAGAGTGATGCTGTCGCACGTCAGGGAAAAATTCTCCAAGTACGTGAAGGAAGTGGCGAAGCAAGGCGGGGCTGCTCACGTGGGGCCCAGCCCCGAGAACCCGCCCAGCATTTTCAACATCTTCAAGGTCCTCGAGGCTCACTGCCCCGCGCCTGGCATCAGGCCTGCGAAGAGCCGCAGGAAGCCGTGCCCAATCCTTGCATTTCGGCAGGTGGAAAATACAAGTTCCTCCGAGAGTTCGGGCGCCCAGTCTGAGGAGGACATTGTGTGCCCAGTATTCCGAGATGGTTGGACTTACATGTTGCAGGCCAACGGGGGCAACGTCCGCGCGGAACGACACGACAAGGGCCCCAACGGGTTCGCGGTGGCCGTGTGGAGCAACGGCGACAAGCACGAGACCCTCTCCCTGAATGCGGACATTATGGAGGACGGCAGCCTGCGGATGGCCCAGCCGCTGCCACCCCAGCCCAAGAAGAAGGCCAAGACGTCGGCGGCGGCCACCCCAGCCGCTGCCACTCCAGCCGTGGTCGCCCCTGCCGCGAAGGCGGCGGCGGCCCCCGCTGGCGGCTCGGGCGACGTGGAATGCGTCCTCGCCAGCTCCAGCGACGAGGTCGAGTTCATTCCGCCCCCAGCCGCGGTCGCAGGCGCTGAACCCGCGCCCGCTGGCGGCGACGACAGCCCCAAGATCATCTTGAGAAGAACGCCAGGCCACAACCTCTCTCAGACCCTGACAATACAGACTACATGGAAAGACAAAGCTCAAATACTGGGATGCACCGTGAAGGAATGCGGAGATAACGCAACTCCGACCGACATCATTGACAAGGTGAAGGGCGAGCTGGAGGCCACGGTGCTGACGCTCGCAGGCCCCGTGAAAGACCTGGCACCTGAAGTGCTCGAGGGTCTCCGTGAGAAGGCGCGCGCTTCAAAGCAGCGCGCGCTAGGTTAGCGATGTCAGATTGAACATTCCTCGCTCCCTCATCCTCCTCCTTCATCCTGCCTTCCCGCATCCCCAGCCTCCTCGACCCTATGCTACCCTATGTTTCTCGCGATATCGACGATGATGATGGGGAGGAGGGAACGGAGGGAGGAGCCACGAGGGAGCGCCAGGAGGGCTCCAACACTGGCTCAAGAGGGGCCCGAGCGGGCCCTTCGACGCGTGAATTTCAACGCCAGTGACATTGACACCTCCCAGGGCCCATTTAGCACGTTGTCAGGAAAGAGGGATGGGCCCCAAGCGCCCTCCAAAGGTTCCGCGTTCGAAAACCCTCGGGAGAACCACGTTCGAAAATCTTCAGGAGAACCGCGATCGAAAACCTTCGGGAGAACCACGTTCGAAAACCTTCAGGAGAACCGCGTTCGAAACCCATCGGGAGAACCGCGTTCGAAAACCTTCGGGAGAACCACGTTCGAAAACCCTCGGGAGAACCACGTGCGGGGACCCTCGGGAGTCCCCAGAGGGTTTTGAGAGCACGCATTAGGCCCCAGGAGGCCGCCAAGAGGGCCCCATGAGACTTCCAAGAGGGTCCGAAGGAACCTCCAAGAGGACACCAAGAGACCCCAGGGGCGCCAGAAGATTTTCAGGGAATCCGAGCGCGCCAGAACGCCTATTTTGGAACAGACTGGCTAGAAGCGGCACTGACCAATGATTTTGCAACGCGCGAAGACGACTTCGTGCAATTTTCAATCGAGCACCAACAGTGATGCTCGAAGTCTCACACAGTCGCGCCCGATCCTGGGCCGAGCTTTGACTCGATCGGACTGCCTGCCTGCCGCCGAGCGCGCCAGAAAACTCCGGCAAGTCGGAATGTGTTTGCTCTGTGTTTCGCTAAATTCCAGAGGCGTTCAGGAGTTCTCCGGGACCGACCCCGCCAACCCGCCCGGAGCCGAAAATCGGCCACTGCCCCCCCCGACGGCGCAAGGCGACAGAAAAATGACAGAATTCTGTCATTTTTTCTGTCAGGTGATTTTCTGTCATTTTTATGTCATTTTTCTGTCAGTTGTTTTTTATTGTAAATTACAATGAAAATCACCTGACAGAAAAATGACAGAAAAATGACAGAAAATCACCTGACAGAAAAATGACAGAATTCTGTCATTTTTCTGTCATTTTCTGTCGCCTCCGCGGTCGAGGGCGCGCGCTCGCCTCTCGGGATTTTTTCAAGCGCCAAAGACGGCCCAGATGGACCCCATAACCCTGCGCCCAGAACCCCTCAGGCGAAAGCTCGGGTGTGATTTCACACCCGAGCTTTTGCAGGGCTTTTCGACCGATGTTCCGACGCTCCAAGACGGCTCCAGCCCCCAGGCCGCGAGCGGCTTCAGGCGAAAGCTCGGGTGTGATTTCACACCCGAGCTTTTGCATGGCTTTTCGACCGATGTTCCGACGCTCCAAGACGGCTCCAGGGGCCCCCAAGAGAGCCGCGAGCGGCTCCTGCGCCCAGGACCCCTCAGGCGAAAGCTCGGGTGTGATTTCACACCCGAGCTTTTGCATGGCTTTTCGACCGATGTTCCGACGCTCCAAGACGGCTCCAGGGGCCCCCAAGAGAGCCGCGAGCGGCTCCTGCGCCCAGGACCCCTCAGGCGAAAGCTCGGGTGTGATTTCACACCCGAGCTTTTGCAGGGCTTTTCGACCGATGTTCCGACGCTCCAAGACGGCTCCAGGAGCCCCCAAGAGAGCCGCGAGCGGCTCCTGCGCCCAGGACCCCTCAGGCGAAAGTTCGGGTGTGATTTCACACCCGAGCTTTTGCATGGCTTTTCGACCGAGGTTCCGACGCTCCAAGACGGCTCCAGAAGCCCCCAAGAGCGCCGCGAGCGGCTCCTGCGCCCAGGACCCCATCAGGCAAAAGCTCGGGTGTGATTTCACACCCGAGCTTTTGCAGGGCTTTTCGACCGATGTGACGCACGCACACACACACACGCATATATACACATACATATAGACGCACACACACATCCTCCAACCCCTGCCACGGCGTTAGTTCTGGGCTCGAGCATTGAAGCTTGACTACTTCAGGGTTAGGTAGTCGTTGCCAACCAGTTCGGTCCAGCACTTACTCCAGGGTCGAGAGCGCTCGATGGCAGCAGAGGTTCCTGCGCTCATGGACCGCGATAGTGCGGACGAGGCTCCTTTGATGAAACGGCCAGCAGCTGCTGCTCGGCGCGTCCCTATGAGAAGGCCCGCGGCGGCGGCGGCGGCGGAGGCATCATGCAGCCCCGTCATGGGCCCATCCAGCGACTCGGAGACGGGTGCGCAGGCGTTAGCGGCAGGACAGAAAGTGAAGGAGGACACCAGAGATGACGATTCTGTGCAACCGTCGAAGCGGCCGAGGAGGGCTAAGGGCCAGGGCCAGGCCAAGGCAACCGCTGCGAAAGCTGGGGCGAAGGCATCTCCGCCAAAGCTTGAGGCGAGCAAAGAGGAACCACCAGACACTGTTCCAGGGGAGGGCCAGTCGGCGCTCGCGGCCCCCGTTGACTCCGCGGCGAGTGCGCAGGATGAGACGCCGAGCCAGGAGGAGGAGGACTCGGGCAAGTTGTCTGAGGAGCAGAAGAAGGAGCTTGACAAGCTGGTGGGCAAGAAGGTTCCTCCAGTGATTGACCGAGCGAAGAGTCAGTTGGCCGAGAAGGGGATTAACCTTGCGGACCTGACGGCCGACCAGTTAAAGAACGAACTCCCGCGGGAAACTATGAAACAATTGTTCCAGTCGTACGGCTACGTCCTGAAGACCTCCTGCCCCCTGATCCACTCGGCGTACAATAAGAAAACTGAGTCGGAGAGGCGGCAGTGGTTAGTCAAGTACATCATCGACCCGACCTCGGGGGGCTGCTCGGGCAAGAGCACGATTGAGCTCACCAATTCGACCAAGGAGGAGGGGACGGTGGAGTGGATAACTCTGAAACAGATGGAAGGGCCAAATTACGCCAATGACCCTGAACATGCGGCGCTGTACGCCCAGGTCCTCGAGGAACGACCCCACGAGATTCCGCTCTTCGCGGAGAACAAGATAAAGCAGTACAAGTGGAGCAAGGAAATCATCGCGAGGATCAACATGAGAAATGAGAAGACCGCCATCCAGACACGTTCCGACATGGAGGCTTCAGACTATCAGAGGATCAGGGACTCCATGTTGAATGCCTCCCCGATCACGGACGCTTCTGCATCCTCGAACGGCGCGGCTGACGATGGGAGGAGGGACAAAAAGGATAAGAAGGAGAAGAAGGAGAAGAAGGAAAAGAAGGATAATAAGGATGAAGACCCCGAGGTGACAGCCAAAAAAGATGCGCTGAAGGTGCTCGACGACGAGATCAAGAAGGGGAAGCTGTGGGCTCGCAAGACTACTGATGAGTTGGCGGAGGTGCCTTCAATTTGCGCGAGGATGAAGAAGAAGAACTACCCCGAGGCGATGACTACCTTCCTTTTGGGGCGCGCCGCCGAGTTCCGCAAGCTGACCGACGACTTCGTGCAGGGCGAGTACACGGCGGCCAAGGGGGTCTACAACGACGCCAAGAAGCACTCGACCGAGGAGATCAACTCGGAGACGAAGAAGCTGAGGGTCAAGCTCAATGCCAACGAGGCCATAACCCACGCACACACGCACACGCACGCACCTCCGCCCTTCCTCATCCTCCACGCCTCATTCTAAGCCCGTAAGCCCTTAATCCCGCAAGCCCTGGGGCCCACAAACACAAAACAAAACGTTCTTGTACTCCAGGTATATTTTCCTCCGAAGTTGGGGGAACAGTTGGCGTGCTTGCTCTTGGGGCCGATGCCCTTCTGGGTCTTGCATCACCCCCCGAGCTTGTTCACGCGGAGGCCAGCCCTAACTACTCGAGGTATCGTTTCCCCCGAAGTTGGGGGAACAATTGGCGTGCTTGCTCTTGGGGCCGATGCCCTTCTGGGTCTCGTCGCCCCCGAGTTTTTTCACGCAGAGGCCAGCCCTGACTACTCGAGGTATCTTCCTCTCCGAAGTTGGGGCGAACATTGGGGTGGTTGCTTTGGCTCCCCCGAAGCCGGCTTTCCCGCCTCCCTGCCAGGCCAAGTTCAACTCGTGGAAGAAGGACAACCTGGACGACATCAAGAAGATTGCGTAGGCGTGCGCTCCGTGAGCTCACTGTTTTTCTCCCTCTTCCCCTTCCTCCCCCGCCCTCCTCCTCCTTCTCCCCCACATCCCTCGCCTCCACAGTTTATCTATTCCGTAGCGGGCGAGGTCGGTGATGCATGGCAGTCCACAACAAAGCAAATCGCATTGTAGGAGAAAAACAACATGCACCTTTTCACTACGGCACGGTCGCGCTTGCCCTCCCGCCCCCATCCGCTCCCCCCCAAAAAAAAAACGAAACAAAAGCATAAACGAAACAACATAGCATATTTCGCCACCAGTTCCCAAGGCCTCGCTCGTCCTGCACGCGAGGCCCAGCAGTTTTTGCGGCCCGAACGAGGGGCCGCCGCGTTCGGGGGGCGGTGGCCAGCCCGCTGCATGCCTCTCTTCGGGGGCGTTCGCCAGAACTTGCTCGGCACCTCATCTGCATACGAGTCCAAGGTATCCGCTTACCTTAGATAGGCGCTTGCGCGCACGGGGGTTCGGGGCTGGTGCTTCGCTTTTTCGAAATACTGGTCTCGTGGCGTTGCCGCGCAAAAAACGCTTGGAGGGCAGAGAGCGCGGGGACTTGGACACGCGCGCGAGCGCATCTTGGCCTCGATGCGTCTGGGGGGGGGTGGTTTCATTTTTGCTTCGGTAGCGGATTTTATTTCTGAGGGCCGGCCCTTGCCCCGAACCACTCCCCAGGTTGAAACCGACGAGAAGAAGCGGAAGGCGCCAGATGAGAAGTCAGAGCTGCGTGGTTTCTTGAAGTCAAAGTTCGCCAAGGGTCGCATTCACGCGATAGAGGTGGTCGAGGGGGCGAGTTCTGGTTGCAAGGATTTTAAATCGCATCAAGGTGCGACAGTCCCTAGTGAACTTGACGATTGGGGTCAGATTCCTGCTGGGAAGAATTCGCACAAGGCTCTCATGCGACGGCTTGACAAGTGCGATGCACCTGCTGTGTACCAAGCCTACATACCTGGGTGGGACCACAGGAGAGGGGTGAAATGCAAGATTTTGGCGAACTTTATGTTGCCACACGAAGTTTTGGACTGGATGGTTGACGGTGCCTCTTTGGACTCGTGGTGCAATTTTGAAGCTGGCCAGCAGCCCCTCCAGGAGGCCATGCGCCTGTGCGGGGAGAGCATGCGACCTAGTCGGGACACGCTCGCCGAGAAATTTATATCGATAGGCATTTGGGGAGATTCGGCGCCTTACGCGCACAGGGACACGTTGTACCTGCTTACATGGAGAGTTCTTTCTGGTTCTGTCATGAGGCACAAGCGCCACTGGTTCTGCGCCTTCCCGAAAAGGACAGCTTTTTTTTGTTGCTTCCTGTTGATGTTTCGTCGTGTTGTCGGCGCCCTCAGTAGGGAGTAACTCGTTGAGCGTGAACGTCCCGCACGGTGGCTTGCTCTCCCCAATTTCCGTCCGCCAATGCACTTTGATTCGCGTTGCTACTATCGTCCCTTCACTTCTCCCGTCTACCCCACACCCGACCCCCCGTCCTCTCGGCATCGTGGCTTTCTGGTGCAGCTCCTCTTGCTCGTTGGGCGCGGCCCAGCTCTTAGACTGGCGTCGCCGTTTGCGCCCCTGTTAAAAGCTCTCGCAGGCAAAGGTGCAACTGCGGGTGCCATGGCAGGTGCACGTTCGAAGCGTGTTGGGAAATCATGAGGTGGAGCTTGAACATCCTATGTGAGGGAACCTATCCGACGACTCGTCACGACGGCATCAGATTTGCCTGTTCCAAAGATTTTGTAGGCGATTTAGACAGGGCCTGTGCGGCCGACAACCCATTGTCGTGCAAGGCTGCAGTGATCCAAGTTAAAGGGGACTGGGATTGGTTTAAACAAGCATTCAATTTATGCGGGTGGAACGGGGACGGCACGGGAAGAAACAGTCGGTGCTGCTGGCTCTGCCCAGCAGATTGCGAGGCGAACGACTTTCGCCGATGTGATTATTGTGCTCCCTGGAGGGGATTGGAATACACCCATGCAAGATTCGTTCAGGAGAATATCTTGACGGGGAGATTTCGGAGTACTATATTTTCTTTTCCAGGTGCCGCTGGGGCCGTCGCAAATCTAAATGAAATCCTTTCTCATCCCTCTCCGCCTCCCTCCCCGATATCGGGGAGGGAGGCGGAGAGGGGTCGAATTTCCTGGGGCGAGCGGGGGTCTGGTCAACGCAGAATAGCGACAGAAAAATGACAGAATTCTGTCATTTTTCTGTCGCTTCTCTGTCGGGGGTCGGGGCAAAACGATCTCCTCGGGAATAATCTGATAGTAGACGCAGGGGGGAAGTGGGGCGGGGGGTGAGAGGGCAGGGGGCCAGGCGGAGGGAGAATAATAACACCCCAGGGATGTTGCTACAGTTCCTGAGCATCGACATGATGCACTGCTCCTGCCTTGGCGTCCTGCAGATGCTGCTCGGTAATATATTTTTTGAGCTGCATAAGTCACTCGGTGGCAATGTTACGCCAGATAGCGTCGGTACGAAACATGCTCTCTCTGTCCTCAACTTGCAGATCAGACTAGCTTCAAGGGCAATCGGGCAGGGCGTTCCCATTCAAAATTTAACTCTCGGGATGTTTAGAGCCGATGACAAGCCCATAAAAATGAGAACGAAAGCGGCCGAAGGTCGGTATCTTTTGAAAGTCCTGAGGCAGATGCTCGTTCAGTTTTGGCCGCCCAGCTCCGATCGAGATCGTGACCGATTCAGCTGCGTCGACTATTTGTATCGGGTGTACGAAGAGTTGAAAGATTGGGGCGATCAATCCGCAGAGAGGATTAAAGATTGGGGCCTCAGGCACGTGATATTATACTCGCAGTTTTTCTCCGAGGCCGCCAGGCGCAACCCGCAGACATTGCAGTGGCGGATGGTCCCAAAGCACCACCTATTCGTGCACCTCCTAGAGAAACAAACTCCAGAACAGGGGAACCCGAGGGAAGGATGGAATTATGGCGACGAAGATGAGATCGGGACCGCCTCCGAGTTGGCCAGCGCTGGGCACTGCAACACTTTATCTCTCGAGCTGATTCGCAAGCATCGCAGCTTGCACCTTGCCTCGGCTTTAGCAGAGATCCGAGCGACTGTGAACTGAAAAAATCCCAGGATGATGGAGGGGGGGGGGCGGCAGTGGAGGGCGACAGACAAGCGACAGAAAAATGACATAATTCTGTCATTTTTCTGTCGCCGTTCTCCCCCTAGTGACCAGGGGCCCGCGACCCTGCGGGACCGTAGCCCTCGGAATTTCTTTGACCTGAAAACGGCATGCCTCACGAGCAGCCCGCGGGCATCCATGACCGTGCTTAGTTATTTTGTTCCTGTTTTCGGCGGTGTCCAAGCAGGAGCGCCTCGCCGAGAGCGTCCAAACCAGGAGCGCCTCGCCGAGAGCTTCTTCGGGGGGCCAAAAAGGAGGGGGCGCGCCTCGCCGAGAGCTTCTTCGGGCCACCGAGGGTCGCCGAAAGCAAACAAAAAATGAGGGGGCGCGCCTGGCCGAAAGCTTCTTCGGGCCGCGGAGGAGGAGGAGGAGGAGGAGGAGGAGGAGGAGGAGGAGGAGGAGGAGGAGGAGGAGGAGACACCCTCCGCTCGGGGCGACACCCTCCGCTCGGGGCGACGACGGCGGCGACGCCCTCCGCTCGGGGCGAGCGACGCCCTCCCGCGCCCCGCCCCCGCCGCGCCGCCCCTGCCCGCCCCGCCGCCGCCCGCGCGCGGGGGGGGCGAGGGAGGAGAGGATCGAGGAGGGGTGACTGGCGTCGGTGCTGGAGTCGGACTCAACGAGCGGTGTGCCGAGAGGGGGGGCCCCTCTTACCCCCCGTTCGCAGCGCCGCCTGCCCTGTTACTTACAATGACATGCGTATGTGTATATCTATAATTACTTTTAGTTTTGGCGCTAAAATCTTAGTGGTGAACTAAAGATTTTTAGTTTTTAGCTTTGAAAACTAAAACTAAAATCTCTTAGTTCACCACTAAGATTTAAGTAGTTCGGAGTGTCTGGGACCGGCGCCGCGGCGCAGCTGCTGCCGGTGCCGCGCCGCGCGCCTCGGTTGATCCGCAAGGGGGCCGGACCCGGCAGAACGGCGCGAGGCCGACGTGCCGGACCACGGCTGGACGCCGGAGCAAGCCAGCCGCGGGCCCGGCCCGGCGGAACGGCCAGAGGGGAGGCCAACCTGCCGGGCCAAGAGGGGGGCCGGACCCGGCGGAACGGCTCGAGGCCGACGTGCCGGGCCACGGCTGGATGCCTGAGCAAGCCAGCCGCGGGCCCGGCCCGGCGGAACGGCCAAGAAGGCCGACGTGCCGGGCCAAGAGGGGGGCCGGACCCGGCGGAACGGCGCGAGGCCGACGTGCCGGGCCACGGCTAGATGCCGGAGCAACCCAGCCGCGGGCCCGGCCCAGCGGAACGGCCACGGAGGCCGACGTGCCGGGCCAAGAGGGGGGCCGGACCCGGCAGAACGGCTCGAGGCCGACGTGCCGGGCCACGGCTGGATGCCGGAGCAAGCCAACCGCGGGCCCCAGCCCGGCGGAACGGCCAAGGAAGCCGACGCGTGCCAGGCCGAGAGGGGGCCGGACCCGGCGGAACGGCGCGAGGCCGACGTGCCGGGCCACGGCTGGATGCCGGAGCAAGCCAGCCGCGGGCCCGGCCCAGCGGAACGGCCACGGAGGCCGACGCGCCGGGCCAAGAGGGGGGCCGGACCCGGCGGAACGGCTCGAGGCCGACGTGCCGGGCCACGGCTGGATGCCGGAGCAAGCCAGCCGCGGGCCCGGCCCAGCGGAACGGCCAAGGAGGCCGACGTGCCGGGCCAAGAGGGGGGCCGGACCCGGCGGAACGGCGCGAGGCCGACGTGCCGGGCCACGGCTGGATGCCGGAGCAAGCCAGCCGCGGGCCCGGCCCGGCGGAACGGCCAAGACGGAGGCCGACGTGCCGGGCCAAGAAGAAGAGGGCCAGACCTGGGACCCCGACGCACCCCGAACACTAAGGCGGGCGCGTGCCAGCCCCATGTCGGCAGCATG